AAGGAGAACTGGCCCATCTCGTATCCCTTAGTTCGTTTTACTCAATCCTCATCAAAGAGAAATACTCGTAAATGACAGTAATACCAATGCGGCGTAATTTTGGCTGGATGCAACAACAATTCGTACATAGAGGAAGAGCGTAGTCTCTTCCCCTACCCAGGATAGGCCACGATAAGGTTTTGTAACTATGAGCTCATTTATCTTACGTAAAAATTATATTTTATCTGTATACCTATTAAATAATATACATATAATAAGGTCACAAATGTATAATATATATATGGGTAGGCTTACTGTATCTATTTTAAAATAGAACAATGTTTGTAGATAGTGCACTACACGCGAAGTTACGTTATATCGTTCAACATTTATTCAACAAACAGATACGTTTGTATACTAACACCATTTATTTACGGAATATTCCAACTTCGTATCAAATTGATCTTACTTACACAGGCTGTATCCGTTAAAAATGTAAACTGCCACATTTGGATTAAATCCTCTCTGGTGGTTAGACGGAAATGAAAAAAGAAATGGATTTTTAACGCAGCAACATATTTTGTTTTTATAATAATTTTTTGGCATCCAGAAAATTTAACATGATTTATTTTATGGTTTTAATTAAGTCAAGAACCGCGAATGAATTATTGAACACAAAATCATTTAAGAAAAGCAATAAAATAATAAATAATAATAATAAATTTATTTAAAGTAAAGATTTACATATCATATCACATATCACACACGATTTGTCAATCAATTGAGTCGGATCTCAAATTGAATTGCGAGTTATTTACTTACAAAGAAAACATCTAACAATGCTGAAAAGTTTGTATATCGTACATATTTTGCCTACTACAGCAAAGCCAAAAAGATAATGCATACTACAGCTATATTTTTAACTTAATTTTGTCTACTATTCATTTTATTAATACATATATAGATTTTGACATAAAAATGTAGGACAAGAAAGTTTTCTAGTTCTATTATTTTCTAAGGGCGATTTTTGTTTAGTATGATTTCAGTTGTTGGCTAAACGCATACATCACAGTAAGTACCTGAAATTAAAAATGTTCTTGATTTCGTTTAATGGCTTAATTTTGAAACATCACGTTAAGACGGGCAAAACTGCGGCAAATGGTCATAATACAAGACGGTACTTTTGGTACAATCCTTACATTAAATTCAACCTTTAATTTTAATGATGTTTAAATTTAAATGTTGAAAGGGTGAAATTAAAGTTTGAATCCTTTAATTTTACCCTTTTAACATTTAGGGAAGTGAGAGGCGTTAGAGTATAGGTAAAAACTCGTTCACACTTCACCGGTCAGAAAGCTGTCACGCATTTTTTCTACAGTACTCCAATCTAGTCCTAGTTTTTCTCGATACAATCGATTTTGATTACTGCAGGAACGAACACAATTAGATACCCGATAGATATAAAAGAATAATTCTTATCTTGAAAAGTGAACCTTAAGTCCACGTAGATAAAAAATAATAGACGGAAAATTTTTGTGTTAGACAAACGACGCAGGCACTTAACACATTGGACACTTGTGATGATCAATAGTAAAGACAGTACACGATTGATGATCGTGAACATGTAATTTACACTTGCAAAATGCAATTACTATCTGATAATATCAGAAAATGTTCTTAGCGCTGTTCGTTTCATGACCTTCTCCGTTAATATATCTAATTTAATAGTGTTTTTGCCGTTTGTGTTATTAAATCTTGTAGATTATAAACATAGTCAAGCAGAATAAATACCGATACTATATATAATTATATATATATATATATATACTGTATATAATTATAATGGGACCAAACAAATAACAGAAGCGAAGCATAATCCAAAACGGTGGCGAATATATGTTTAAAGCTTTTTTTGTTAGTGGAGCTAAAGAAATAGCACGGCGATTACTTTTGTTAATAAAAGAACAATGCGTTTTTATGATATTCTAGGTAGAAACGCTTTACGTATATACGTAGTTAGTAAGCTAAATTTAGAACAGATACTATAAGATCTTTCAATAATTATGAAGCCTTAAATATATAAGTTTATTATGAACTCAAACAAAGGAATAGACAAGGTTGTTGTTGCATGACATATCTACGTCAAACATGACATGTTCAATAAAATCAGTAAATATAACGTCAAAGGATGGTACATAAAGTAATTTAGTAATGCAGCCTTTATTTGTGCGCATACATATTTTTCATTTTCATTTCATTTTTCATTTATTTTAGTGGAATAAGAAATACAGGCGTAAGTACATATATGTATATACCCATGTGTGAGTGTAACTTGTTTGTGTGATTACATACGTCGATAGGCTCTGTTTATAAACTGTCCCACAACTTATCATCGATTAGAATGAAAAGGTTTAACCCTCAACTCGTTAGCTGTGTGGCACACTTCACAAACATTCGAGAACATTAAGGGTAAATCTACAGATTTTCTCATAATGTTTTATTCAGCGTAAGGTAAGTGATAACCTAACCTAACACGCTTTTTGACTTTGGATTGTCAAAGGCGTGTGACCGGACACCAAACTCGAACCGCTGGCGTCAAAACATTAAGGTTAGACTACTCGGCTATAGATGTTTATTAAGGTCTACCTAAGAGAATAAGAAGATACAAGTAACTATTGTGTAAAGTTTTCTTCTTTTGTGTTTTAAATTTAATAAATTCAAATATTGTGTTATTGTTTCAACCGTAAAAACCAGTTATTAATCATCATCATCATCAATAGGCTTTAATAGTCCCCTGCTGGATTAAGGCCTCCTCTTAGAAAGGACAAAACAATATACTGTTTATGTCAATCACTTTTCACTGTCAAAGCGGCAGTCTAAATATATCAATGTTTTCAGTAGGTTAACGAAAAACGTCAGTAAAGTTAAAAGTTTTTATTCGTATCAAAAAGCTGAAGCGGTTTTACAGATAGTTACTTATTTCTACGGACGTTATTTTTCTTATTGTAAAAGAAGAAAACATTACAATTAAGTACGAGTATCTTTGACTTCAATGCGTCCACAACATCATCATAGTTTTGACTCTTGGAGTGCTGTTTTTTTTCACATTAAAATATGCCCAAAGGAGAAGGATGATATCCCAGCAAACTAAAAAGATTTTTCCAAATCAATGGATAAATGACGAATTCTGAAGAAAAAAACAAAAAAAAACCGAGTCGTTGAAAAAAAAAATTTGTAAAAATATGCCTAAATACAATGTAATTGTGCGAGTTTAAGTTGTAGTTTATTATAAACTTGTTATTATTAGTTTTTGAAATACAGTCTTATTCTTTCTATTGTTAAAATATTGTGCTAAACATTCGTACATTATGTGCATTTACCAGAATTAAAATGGTATTCTGATCTCAAAGATTACATCGACTGATGGCTGATAACGATTTAAATTGATTTTTATATCGCAACGAATTTTTTGGTGGGTGTCCGTTTTCGTAAAATTTCAATGGTGATAAATTTGTACAATATACACGTAGCCTAAAATTATTTAACAGATATTAATAGACGAAGGATTCGAGAAACTCCATATATTGTATATAACGTTTATGACATTCATTTAAACCTTGAGTTTTAATATGGTTTGGGTGTCAAAAATCAATAGACTGGAAATAGACTTCACTGAAATACATAATGTAGACCGACATTTTATCACTTTTCATTAACACATTTCATAATATAATTTTAAGCAATGTTCGGTATTGACAATCATTTGATGATTGACACATGACACAACTAAGCATAAACAGTACAAAATACAAAATAAAGGTATGTGTTAATATTATGAACATGTCGTCGAGATTTTGTATTTTCTAATTACTAGAACATTTTTTTGTACTGTAATTATTTTTTTACGTCATCCAAAAATAAGTGATTATTATACACCTCACGAGTCACCCAGATTATACACCCAGTTCAAATTTACGAAACAATAACATGATTGATGATAACATTATATCCTCCGAGTCTTTTCCCAAACTACGCTGGGATCGGCTTTAAGTCTACTACGATACGGCTGAACTTCGATTTTTTAAGCGGAGCGACTGCTATCAACGTCAGCCTCTACTAGTCCACTGCTGGATATAGGCCTCTCCTTAGAAAGGAGATTTTGGCCAACTACATCACTCTGGCCAGACGGGTTGGTATAGGGTTTTTTTCAAGTTTTATTTCTCTTTGCGGTGCTGTTGTCCTGTGTAGTTTCCTGCCAACGGATCTCCACATCTCAAGTACTAGACAATATCGATATGACGGTTATATATAGAGCAGTAAAGAACTGTTAGAATGTGAATAAAGTTACAAATGTGATGACTTAACTGATGATAGAGAATTATTATTTGATATTATTACTTGGAAGAATATTAAGTTAATGGTTGGTGTTGTTGTGATTTACATGGCTTAAACACTGATGTTGCTAATATTGACTGGACTGAACTGCTGGACCACCAGAGTTTAAATATAAACCTAGCCGTAGATATATTATATAATAAACTTAATAGCGCTATCAGTACACGCGTTCCCTTAAGGACAATAGTTCATAACAATAAATATGTATACATAAGAAATAATAAATTATAAAAAATATTTCTAGGATATTGGTAAGGGTTTCGATCAATCTCTACTTCATGCTTTGCTCTGTTTAAGTTGTCAGTTTCGTAAGCAATTTGTATTGATACTCCTTGAATTAACTTTAATATTGATCTTAAAGCCCTGGCCAGTGGCGCGGGCTCGTGGAAATATGTATATATTACTTTTTGGAAAGTTTTGACTTGGCTATTTAGGTCTTGTTTTGCTCCAGGATGTTCTAGGAGAACTAGAAAGTTCTGTTTGTGTGCTTTCCAAGTGGTCTCTTTTAGGGAGGGAATGATAAGACGGGCTCAGATGTGGGTGGGCTCCTGGTTCGGGTCACTCTCTGGCCTGCTTTGAGATATATGAGGGTCAACTCTATCCGTAGTAGCCATTGACGAACTTACAGAGGTCTGCCTTGCATCAATGACATCGTGTGTTTTCAAATGTTTTAGGAACCCGGCTCTTTTCTTGTACTGTTTCCCGCACGTGGGGCATCTCAAATCCATTATCTCGCCAGGGTTGTCGGTGTACTCTTTGGTGGACAGTTCTGCCGGCCCCACTCTCGCCCCAGGGGTATTTTTCCTTACAGCACTTTTAGCGATAGTTGTCTCGAGCATGGCGTGTTAGGCCATTGCTCTCGGCTGTCTTTCCAGCAGTCCTTAGTCTTTCTTGTTGTCAGTTGTCTTTCCAGCGTCATCCTGTCTGTTCGGGCTGTAGGTTAAAAAAATACCTATTTCTTAGTATTCCGTGATTTCACCGTGCGGGTGCCTGGTCCATCGCGTGATAGACACATGTGACTTCGACAGCGCCTGGGACTTCCGACCCAGGTATAGGTTTAGGGAGTATTCCTTGCGACGCGTCAGCGCTCACCTCCACTGTCTGCTGTGTTAACCCCTCTACCTAACCATATTTGATACGAGCCTATTTATGCCGCTTTGGATATTCGTCAAGAAAAGAGCTTACTGAAGCTCTTGGCAATCCAAGGTCTTTAAGCAAGTTATGATAGAAAAAATTCAACGTAACTGTTGTAGATACCTATATTAGCGTCATGGATACTACCCCTTTCTCTATCCTTCAATGTTGGTGGGTTTAGATACACTTCAACACAGGCGGGAATCTACACATAAAATGCATTATTTTCTGATACTGGCGAATAAGGTAGATAGCGCTGTTGTACGGGAATCATTACATTTTTATGTTCCCGACCAGTACATTCGTGGCGTTTGAAGACGACTACATAAACTCCTGTGCTGTCCGCCTACGTGGCGCTCTCTCCAGGCTGACAACAGTGAAATAGACAATAGCCCCACTGCTATAACAATTAGTCTTATCAATGAGTTTCTTCAGTGTAGTCCAGATGCAGATTTTTGACTCCCAAAATTTTAAAACATATTTATACTTATCTAAATGTTAAAGAGTAATTTTATAGTTCCTAAATTGATGTAAGGTTGTTTTTGTTTACAAATTTTATGTTATTTTTTTTGTGGGTCTGAGTTTTACAATTTTAATAGTATGTAGTTTATTTTTATTAAAATTAGCATAGGTATAAACGATTTGGTGTACACTGTAATGCTTATATTTCTATAATAAAGAATTGAATTGAATATTTAATTCACTTAAATCGTACTTAACAGACTCGTGCGTCTACGCCCAGATGCAGCCCGACCTCAAAAAAAACATGGGGAGGACATGCTAGGGAAGACGACTTAAGGATGGGTATTTTCATATAAACATCGGATAACAAAGACAGTTATGTAGTAAAGAATCCCAATAACAAGCTAATAGTTACGGAAGAATAATAGTTAAGCTTTCACTGAAGGATTAAAAATTAAAGCTGATACGCGAACAGACCTATCCGACGTAGCTACTGTATAGTCTCTACCCCTGCGAACATAAGAGTGAGCCCTTGTAAATTAATATACTTACTCTAGTACTCTAGTTATCTGATTGTTATTGCATTTTTAGAACAAAATTTAAAAATATTTTCTCAGTTCAATATTTATCTGTTTTTTTTTTTATTTCAGAATAAGATTTTGACAAACATGACTAGAGGCTATACAACAAACTTTCTAGGATCTAGCAGTTATTAGATTTTAGCTTAAATATCTGTCAAATTACATTATGTACTGTACAATTAAAACCCAAATAAAAGTATACATACACAACTGATGGCGGGGCGGTTCTTATTTTATGAAACTTTTAGTTGAATGTGGGAGCTAGACCCTTATCCTTAACAAAAAATAATTCTCCAACACCAAAGATCGAATGGCTTCATAACTTTCATTTTTTTAAGGGCTTTACAAACATTAAGGTAACGGACACAACGAACACCCAGACTCAGAACAACAATTTGTGGATCGCACTTAGTGTTGTCCCATACAGGGATCGAACCCACAACACTCAGCGTATTAGGAAGCGGCGAGGTGACCGCTTAAACCACTACGCCATCCCTGAAGTCTGTGTTTACGCACGTCCTTAAAAGTACCCGACCTAAAAAGCACATCGACTCGCTCTCGATGGCGATCGCGTTTAGCGTTGCGATTGGTGGAGATTTCAGCGCGAGCCAATCGTAGCGCCGAACGCGGTCACCGTGACAAACGAGTAGAAATGAAACAAACTCGCACTTGGCCCTCTGATCTTGTACTGTCACGGAGAAACAAATAGAAATGAGAAACGAAGTCCACCCTTTTTTTGCTATTTAAAAACATAAACAAAACACAAAAAGATTACCTTAATTTTTAAGGTAGTTACCTAAAAATATCAGTAAGGAGGATAACGAGGTCAGACGTTTAAAAAGATACTGCGCTATAAATAGCATCAGCGCTAACCCTCTTATCGCATTTAAATGTGAGAGATGAATAGTATTTAAGATAACGAGAATTAAATGTACTTTATCTATAAGTAATATCTCGTGGTAGTAGTAAGATAGTAAGAAGTAAATTAAATTACTCAATGCAGATATTCTATTTTACATTGAAACATGAAGGATAAAGCATTTTGGGATTTTCAAGTTGATGTATAGAAGTTTATAATCATATATTAGCATCAAACAAAAACAGCACCCATAATGTATTTAAATGTAGTAAAATAAATAGCTACGATGAATTAAATCGAACCATTTGTTTTGTATAATCAACAATTTGCGACTATGTACGGTCAAAGATACACAAAGAGCTCTTGAATCAGTATTAGTGTTGATGGCTTTTTATATCTCAAGAGAATATTTATGAAGTTCTAGTTTTATTTTTATGTTAGAGTTGGCAAACGAGCAGACGGGTCACCTGATGGAAAGTGACATTCGCCGCCCTTGAAAGTCTGCAACTCAGGAGTCACAAACGCGTTGCCGGCCTTCTAGGTAGGAGCACGCTCTTTTCTTGAAGGTTTGAAGGTCGTATCGGTCTGGAAATACCGCAGACGGTAACCCGTTCTACAGATTGGTTGTGCGGGGCAAAAGGTGTCTCGAAAAGCGCACAGTAGTGGAGCGCCAACTATCCAGGTGATGAGGATGACAATTTTGCCGTGTGGAACGATGACGGAAAGTTGCGGCTGGTATTAGTTGATGATGAGATGTTTGGGCTATCGACGATTCGAAAGGGCATGTCTCGTGCTATCATCTGCATAGCAATGGATGCTACTAGTTTTCAACATGTCATTGACATGCAGAAGAAACAGTGTGGGTAATAGATAGCACACAGCCTTGCGGGACACCAGCATTTACGAATTTCAAGTCGGAGTATGCACTGTCGACAACGACCTTAATGCTTCTGTCCGCAAGGAAACTGGTGACCCAAATACACAATTTCTCGAGAAGCCCATAGGAAGGGAGCTTCGAGAGAAGCGCCTTATGCTAGACCCGATCGAAGGTCTTCGCTATGTCCAAACTAACCGCACAAGCCTCTCCTTTGGTCTCGATCGCCTGTGCCCACCGATAAGATGTTAGAAAGACCAGAAGATCACCGGCTGAGCGACCCCGGTGAAAACCATATTGTCGGTCGTTGAGTAGCTGGTGATCATCTACGAGTAAGTGCCGGAGGAGTTGATTATGGATTTCATATTCTTAGAGAACAAAGGAGTTATGGCTGTAAGCCTGTAATTGGGCGGGTCAGAGCGGTCACCTTTCTTAGGAATCGGGCGCACAATCTTAAAGAAGTTCAGGACGACACCTTAGGAGTAGGAGAGTCGAAAAAGGCGCATTAAAACCGGTGCTAACTCCGGAGCACACGTCTTCAACACGATAGGAGAGGTTCCATCGGGCCCACACGACTTATGAATGTCGAGGGAAAAAAGTGCTTTACGCACTGATTTTTGTGTCATACTTTTTATATATAAACATTAAGTTAAAAATTTAATCTCAAAATCAAACATAGCTAAGAACACTCCCGACTAATTCACCTTTCAAACAAAGTCAAAATCGGTTCGGCCACACCGATACGTCAAACTTATACCACCCCGTCGTTTTTGCGTCGGGGGTTAATAAAGCGTAATCGAGCACTCTGTATGGTAGTATCTGCAATCAAACTACTGGAAACGGTTTCTATTCTAAAGATATGTTCAAGATGACCCGTCGCACCCAGCTCCTCGTTAACGTTCTAGCCACCACTTGATCAAACTCCGACGCTACAGCCCACAGATTCTCAAATGGTGTACTGCAATGTGGATCCGGACCGCCGGAAAAATACTATGTAATATAATTTCTGTCGACTAACTTTGCAAATTTTGACTTTAGTCGAAAGGCCGTAAACAAATTAAAATTATTGTAACCAACATATTAAACATATCTGATTAAAAATTATTAAAAAATCAATAGAGCCAGTAACTGGTATATACACCCTACTATGTATGTCATTTGTTTGAATCATGTTTTATATTTACCATGTGTAGATCACGCCTCTTTTCTTTACGTAGCATGCAGCCCACTGCCCGACGCGACAACGTTATCGTTGTACTACCTTAAGCCTGATTTATAGTACTTCACTTTCAGAGTTCAGTAAAAGAAAATTAAAACTACATCTTAAACCAAAAATATTTATTCAATCTTAATATCTCTTCCCTATGTCTGGCCCTCAGCTTTGGGAACACTGTGAAATTTAAAGGACGGACACACTTGGTTTATGCTTAAATTAAATACAATTTGCGTCATTCTACTCTCAAATTATTATGAATTCTAAAGCACGTGGCTGCTAATAGAAAAAAATAAGTCTAAGAGAAAAAGATCCGATAAAATATTGACCGAGGCTTTTTAATTGTTTGAAAAATCAAATCGACAAAGTTCCGCAGTAGCATTCATAATAAACTATCAAGTTTCCCGTTACCTGGGTATATAAATCCACTATAACAATTGTTTTATTCTAATAGACGAATATAAGCAATTAGTGTTTTCGATGTGTTTTATATCTTTTGAACCGCCAAAAAGATACTTTTTGTCGTATCGCCTCGCTAAGAGTGTTCTTCTTTGACGCCACAACCAGCATCGGAATCCTTGAAACAAATTGTAGCCCGTAGTATTTGTGTACAAATACGTCCTCTAAATCTAAATCAACGCGCTTATGACCTTTCTTGAGAGCAGCTAGTCACATATCATGAGATGACACGTCTGATATCTGCTAGTGTCACCCCT